TAATGAAGAAATGTCTGTTTCAATTACTGATTCAAACGCTAAACTTATCATTATTATTAGTTATTGATTCAACTGGCAGCTCTGGTTGAAAACGAATGTACTGTGAAGCATTTGGTGAAGTAACTACACCGTCGAGTTCGCACAAAAATCAAACAGCTTGCGTCAGATGTGCCTGAAAGCGAACCTCGAAAGAGATCATATACCAAGAAATATCTTGCTCTTGATCCATAACTATATCCATCGGATATTTGCGACGCGTAAAATGGTCTAAGAAGGGAACAGTGTTCATGCAGTGCAAGCAAAGCTTCCTACGTTTCAAGAGCCGCCATCTCTGGTTCGTCGAGAAACACATTTTAGTAAATGTAAATTGAAAAGCTGGTGTTTACTTAAAAATGTTTTTCTCTTGATAATTCCCAAGATTGCTAACGGCTATACTAACGGCATACTTCGATTTCTTATGTATTCTTCACAAGCCATACAACAATGCTACTGAACTACAGACCAGAGTGGTTAACATATGATAGTGTTAATTTTCGTGCAACCTTTACTCAGCTTCGAAGCGAAACTTAAGTTATAAACCCGAGTCTCAGACACAAATGATAAGCAACTCTACATAAAACTACGTACAGTTGACGCTCTTGGAATTCTAATTTTGCCGATGAAACATTCTGGCAGGGGCATGTCTCTCCATTTCTATATATGCACTCGGGATCGTCGATCAAAACATATAGGGTCGTTTATGTACACGTGGTCTAACCTTAAACCATGGTTTTCCACAATCGGTGGACATTAGGTTTTCCCTGTAAATAGATCGATGTAATGAAATAAATGTTCTTTCCACAGTCAGTTTTTTGCCCTCATGACCCCCTTTTACAAGAAATTATGTTCAGTTAAAAGATTAGGCTTGATAAGGCAATTTCGTCGAACATCGGCCAAACCTTATTAAAATAATCGACAATAGACTGCAACTTTCGAATACGTTGAGCGAGTCCTCCCCTCAGCATACTTGAATTTCTTAAGTATTCTTCACAGGCCATACAACAATGCTACTGAACTACAGACAAAAGTGGCTAGACCACATGAATTAACCGACCTGATCGAAGTTTCGATCGACGATCCTGAGTGTATATATAGAAATCGAGAGACATGCCCCTGCCAGAATGTTTCATCGGCAAAATTACAATTCCAACATCGATCGACCGGTCGACATTTTCAATGTTCAATTAATCACTTTTTATGGGAAAATGTCATCCCTTTCTTATTTCTGAACTACAGTGTATAACGTCTTCAAGAGTTGAATATTGCACAGCGGTTGGTTTTTCACGGAATAATGGAGTAACTGAGATATTTACCTTGAAGTGCGTCTTCATTATCGTGCCAAAAAAGAATAGTTACCCTCTGGAAAAGCGAAAAAGTTGCTCTCGCACAACTTCTTAAAAAGGCCAAAACTGCCATGTTTGTTAGGTTGGTAGTTTTTTCCGCAAAGTTGGCGTTTCATTAGTCTGTAAGGTTTTTTCCAATATGGCAGATGACGTGGCTTTAATCGTGGCTTTTTACGATTTACTCTGACCGACTGGGTGGACGAGAAAGAAGGCAATATGTGTTCCTATAGTTCGATAAAGCTGTCTCCAGATGAGAGCTTTTATTCAAACCGGCACTGAATTATTGAAACCCTCTATGACGGGCTCAGGAATTTCTAGCTTCATATCTTTATAAATTCGAGGTGAAAACAAAACTCTTATTTTCAGATCGGTTTCAAACACAGGTGTTTCATTCCGAGTACACAGTAAACACATGCACTCAGTGTATGATCAGTTCCATTGAGCTTTTGAGGGTTCGGATGAAACCGTCGCTGGAATGTTTTCAATTTATCAAAACACCCTTAAGACCGGCCACTAGAGAGGCCGCAGCATCCCATTTAAAACTATTCTTTGGATGTAACCGAAAGCGATAACTCTTAGCTGTGTGAGACTTTTGTTCCCCTTCCTGCAGCCTTATATGTTCGTGTGCAGTGAATCGAAATTTGGTTGCAGACACTTTACGCGGTACGTATCCTAAAAGAGCGGATCATGTCTCTGTATGCGCTATTTCAGGCTAATCTCACAGAATTATTCCATGCCCTTCGCGGCTAGTTTCCCTAAATATCTTCGTTTAACGGCAAGATCCAATTATACTCAGATAAAGACTATTTTTGAACGCGGGTCTGTAAAACTCATTTGAATCATCAATCTTATGCTCGGGTCAATCCACACAATCCAATATGGCGGACGTTTAAATATGGTTCGGGGTCAGGAGGTCATCAACAAATCAAAAACTGGAAGAGGGGGAGGGAGGGGGTGGACCAAAAATACTATACTCAGTAAAAAAAACTTTAAAGATAAATACTCTGGTAAATCAGGAAATTGATTTTAGTACGAATAGGTACAACACCAAGGCTTCTCCTTATAGATTCTACAGGATTATTTTCAGCAAGCGACAAGTTCAAGTAAAACAAGCATAATCAAAAATTCTATTAGAATCAGAGACAAAAGATTTAATAAAAATAGAGGAGCTCCTCCTCCTAAGTTCTCTTCGTCAGTACCTCAAGAAATATATGGAGAGCAGTACTAGGGAATGTACACGCTGATGAAAGATTAAGAAGGGTTACCATCTCAGTTCAATTGATTGGAGAAGATGCAAAAGCTCGAAACTTTTTTCATGGGATAAAAAATAACCGTGTTTGATGTCAGCAGGACATGTAGCCGTAGCAACTGATCATAACATACTTAGCAATAACGATGCATTTCAACATTACTTTGTTTTCCTCGTCTAATTACCTCGTCTTGTCACACGCAATAGGAGCTTGAACAACCTGGCCAGGTGTTTGTTTCAATGTTATGTTGAAAACATAATGACTCACTGAGTCACATTTTCTAAAGCTCTTAAATATCTGAGATTTGGAGAGACATGAGAAGTGTTGCCATGACTTCATCTTCTTTATCGTATCATATTATGTGTTACTTGATTAGTGAACGACTAGCCGAGTTACTGAACGCAAGTGTTTGGATATTCTCATCTTATCTAGAGCCGCGAATGTTGGTATGAAAATTCATTTTATATTGTTTCTATTTTCAATACTCTGTCATGTTTCTAGGTAAATCGAATCAGTTGGCGTTTCACTGTTATTGGACTACATGTATGTGAACCACATTTATCTCTTCTAAAACATTTAGAATCGGAACTATCGCTTTAACTCGCTCAGTTACCACTGATTTTCGATGATTGCAGATTACTACTTTATAACTTAGCACGTTGCAATGACAGATTTTCTTTCCAGTTCTGAAATCTCGTTGTGTATGAAAAGTGAAAGAAGGTCATAAGCCTGAGACAGCATGAAAATTTATTAGTAATTCCATCGTGAGTCCAATTCACACAAAATGCAGTGATGAAGTTTTGAAGTTGACTGAGAAGCTATGCTCTTTAATACGCTAATGTCTTTCGGCCTGAATAAAAAGTATACGGAAACATAAATAATCTCTGGTCCTCAGAGCTCTAGTCAACTTAACTTGAAAAACTGCGTCATTTAGATGTAAAAACACCAGCCATCTGTGATTTTAAGCACATTTCTTATTTAAGACCTATGTTAATGTTGTAAAAAGGTCTCATTTTCAGCAAAACTTACGAATTTGCTCTATCTATTCTGTTATGGCATAAAAATTAAAAGGTTGATCAATCCAACAAAGAAATCATAACATTAGTAAGAGTTCAGTCGAGCATATAAATTAGAAATCCGCTGACAATATCTTCGATTCTTCACTCATAGATTTATGTCTAATGGTCAACACTGGCTAAGTTAACAAATTCAATTATATAGAGTTTCGCCAGGCTATTGATGTAGCGATCATCCCTTTAAAAGAAAGAGCATGATTTCTTCCGCCTTTTCAAGTGCAACATTATTTCATGACAGTCGAGCGTGAAAATACTAGGACAGAGCGTCAAATGTCCGTAGTTTTATGTAGAGTTGCTTATTATTTGTGTCTGAGACTCGGGTTTATAACTGAAGTTTAGCTTCGAAGCTGAGTAAAGGTTGCACGAAATTTAAACACTATCACTTTTGTCTGTAGTTCAGTAGCATTGTGGTATGGCCTGTGAAGAATACTTGAGAAATCGAAGTATGCTGAATGATCAAAGCGAAGGATAGTGAAGCACCTTTATTTCATTAAAGTAAAGGTTGCACGAACCATATATGTTCAACAAAACTGCTTTATAATCTATCACCAATTTAGCCGAATCTTTTATCTGAACATAAATTTTTGTAAACAATGTCAAGAGGCTGGAGTAGTGGAATACATCATCAATACTCTTGTTCTAGCATAATTCAAAACAAAAGCATGACGACGAAGAGAAAACTTATTTCACAACAATATTTTACCAGAGTGGGTTGACATCGTATTTCACCTTCAGCTGCACAATTCCCACCCCTCCCTCCACATTTAATCCCTGTCCCTTGCCTAGAAGGCATTCTATTTAAATCAGAATTAACATTCTCCGCACAATGGACATCGGTTCTCGTGAATCTCCTGAATCTTGTGACTTGCAGCTGTAGTCGGAAAGTTTCCGCGCCTTTATTTCATCATAACAAACTCAGATAAAAATGCCATTTTCTCAGTCCTGTTTATTATGAGTTGTTAGTACAGGAAGTACAATTGTTTCCCAATCTATCCATTTGTAAAAAACACGACCTTATGACCACACTGTATTGCACTCGTAATTGGCAAACTAATCTATATTACGTATCAACAGTATAAGCATGCCAGTTAGAGCACGATATTATGACGATTATCGACCCCCTAACAATGCAAATAATACAAAATCATTACACTGGAAGTGTAACGGTAATGTGAGAGTTTTGACTGATGGAGTCGCTATCTAGGCTACTACAAAAAGTTTGCAATAGAGAAGGAAATGATGTGCAGAGGTCACAGAAAAACGTAAACAAATTAAACTACAAAAGTCAACTATTTCGACAAAAAACGGAAGTTTATTACAACTCTTACATACAACTAGCACCTCGACATCACAGAAAGCTGTGCTAGCATCTTTCATCATAAAGAGGCGAGGTCAAGATGAATGAGTTCTCATTTACTGGAGACTTCGTTTTCCCTGACTTCTTGTTGGTTAACAGAGATGATGTCACACAACACAACGACATCCATGACAAAGACTGACATAATTCGTGTTCTTAAATACCATTTGTGGCAGCAGGTAACCAAACAAATAGAGGATTAGGTGTTGGATAAGTGTTATTTTGTTAGAGTACTTTTAACTGATTCTACAGGAACCAAACATGTACCGAAAGTTTTTATTCACGATTTCTTAAAGAAACTTGTCAGCGACGATTGTCTAGCAGCTTTGTTTTTAACATCTGCACAGGTCTTCTTGATTATTTTCTTTGCTGGGGAGGGTTGTTTCTCTTTCTCAGTAGGATTGATTCTTTGAGGTTCTCCATCACTTGCATCGGTTGAGTCAGTTTCCCAAACTTTCTCGGTAACTGCAAAACAAACAAATCACAACCGAAGCTTTACTTGTGGTGCTCGAAATACTGTTTCATTAGTTCCTTTTGAAGAGTCGACGTCTGGCCAAGCATCTTACAGGAGTCAAGACAAAGACATATTTAGACAGACTGACAGACAGAAAAAGAATAAAGGGGTAAGCTTCTAAACAAACTGTCGCGCTGTATCGGGTGGGGAAGGGGAGGGGGGGGGGTGGAGGGTATTGTACGATAATTTGGTTTAATCCTCTGGGGGTGATTACGCAATTGACCACCGTAAAGTGTCTTTTAAGCTGACGTATCGAGAAAAGGAAATGACTCGCTCCGACCAAGGGTTAACGCTTGAAACTTCAGCTTTAGAAACTCTTTACGGTGGACAATTTAATTATAAACACATTTGATAAAACCAAATTATCCTGACAGAAAGAATGACAGACGGGCACACAGAAAATTGAACAGACAGACAGAAAGACTAATGTATACACGGACTTGCAGACAAACGTGGAGACGGACCGACAGACGGAGAAACGGACAAATGGTCAGGCAGACGGAAGGAAAACATGCATACGAAGCAGAGGAGCGGACAGGAATGCAGACTAAAGGACTTACAGAGATACAAACAATTAGACAGCCAGACGAAGGAAGTCAGTAAAACAGAAAAGCAGACCAACCAATAGACAGGCAGAAGGACTCAAAGGTAGACGAAAAAACAGACAGACGGAAGAACGGACACTGAAGTTGTTATTGTAATTAATCGGGAACGTTCAGTCATCAAAACATGGGATATTCTTGCTCACGTACCCATAAATCCTTCATCATTCATGTATGTTTTATCTTTAAGTGCCCTTGTTCTCTTCCGTCGCCTTGCTGTTCCACTCTCTGTTTGTTGAGGCAGCTGTTGTGGCGGAGGACTGACACTGGCTGAAGACCTCTGGTCAGGGGGGAGCTTCTTGATCACGTCCCTGTTCGGCATGTCTTGCTCTTTCGAGAAATAGAAAATTCAACATTGAAGATCAAATAACAGTATGCCATGGAAATTTTGCGGATTGTCGTCCATCCACAAAAAAACTTCTCGCAGAAAGAAAATACTGTAAAAATAACGTCGTTACTTTCAGTCGGAACGAAACATTTTGCATGCGATTCCATTGCCAGTTGTATTAGAACAAGCGCCTCAAACAAACAACGATTCGGCAAACCAGAAGACGTTCTGAGCAACAAATTTATTTTTTCCGACGATCAATTCCTCAAATGTTAGTGTTCCCAAGAATAATTTCTCACTCAGGAGAAAGGAAATTTTTTCTCATTTGAAATTTAGGTCGTACGCTTATCATCTGAACAGACACGAGGTGCAGTTTTCTTAAATTTCTTTTGAATGACGGCGACCTCACATGAGCTGCTCAAGCACATAACGAGGAAAAGGCGGTGTTCCATGTTAAAAGTGTTTACATCATTATTACCATCATCGCTGCTGTCTTCTTTCGGAAGCTCTTTCGTTCGTTTTCGTCGTTTTTTTGGCTTAGCTTCTCGTTCTTCGTCTGAAGTGCAAGTGAAAGAAAGTGTGATAAATCTATTCGAAATAATGATTAAAAACCCAAACCCTGAATAATGTGAAAAAAAAAAAAAAAACTGCGAAGCAAAATTCGTCGCGGTACGACCAACCGGAATGCAAGTAAAAAAGAAAGAGAACAAACGAACAAAATGAAAATCGAACAAAAACGAGCAGATAAACTGACCGATAAATAAAGAGAAACAAACCTGAAAGGACGGTGACGCTAAATATACCGTCCGTCACAAGCCCTTTGACTTGGATCCCAACTGTTTGACAAAACGGACAAACTGACACGATCACACAAGCTGAATTTAGTACCAACCTGACTCTTCATTTGTCACAGCTTTCTTTTTCCCCGCTTTGCTATAAAAAAAAAGGTCTTTTTAAAACACCACAAAACATCGACCATATTCGCAACAGAGTAAGATTGGAAAACGTTGGCTATAAAGCAACTTCTAATAGTAAAATCCCTTGAACTTCAAGCACCAGTGTGCGCGGGAAAAGAAAAAAAAAAGGACAAACAACATTAACAAAAAGGAAACGGAAAAGACAAGGCAAGAAAAGCAAAACCAAAGCCTAATAAGTATGTCTTTTATTCCCCCTCAGTTTCCTTCCACCCTTTCAAGCTTGCTTTAGACCTATCGTTGAACAACTGCTCTCTTCCGTTGGCTCTGAGCGGACGGTTTAGCACACGGACGGCCTAACAGTTTTTAACAAAAAAGGTCACACAACTTTATAGGTAAAAGCACTGTGAACTATGTCCACGTGAAGTTCCAGTTACCTCTTGGAAATATCAACCTGCTTTCCTTCTTTCTGCTGTAAATAGATGATGAAGAAGACATTATTACATGGCATCCACACTTAGAATGACAGTGGGTTTTTCTTCACGGGACTGGGACCCCGGGAAGATCAATTATTCTATTATTATTGAAATTTTGGTGATAAATATTTTCCTTACGCTGCGCCTGGGTGTACATTGACCCTTTTTTTACATCAGAGGCTCCTCTGGCCCAGTTTTGTACCCTGCTATTTCGGATGGCAACAAAAACCGTGAATAACAGCCCAAAGAAAATAAAAAATTGCATCGACCGAGTATCATGAATGCAGCCTAACCTTTTGCTTGTCATTCTTTGAATCCTTGCTACCTAAAAAACATAGGAAAACAAAAGAGAGAACAATTGAAAAGAAAAGAAAAAGGAATTAAAGAAATGAAAAACAACAGAAAAAAACCGAAACAAAAACGACAACACAGATCGAATAAACGAACGAACGAAAGAACACGAAAAGAAAGGCGAACAAGGAAAGGTAAGGAAAGAAGAGAGAAAGAGAAGAACCAACGATGCATTTACAACGAAAACCAGTCCGATTAAACCAAAGATTCCACCATTTTCAAATCCAGCCAATCAACTTTTAAATACAAAACAATAAAATCTCAGCTTGCTCTATGATCAGCGATGTTCCTGCGAGCACGAAGTCTGTTTTTTCCTATTTCGGCAAAATGTAAGAAGAATTTCAATTTTCCGGTATTGACAAAGCCCGTGAAATTGTCTTTCTCTGGACGGTTTAGGTCTTGATACGAAAACTTGGTTTTTTGACTCATTCTATTACGATTTGAGAAAATTATAATTAGAAATAAGAGAGATGGTAAGTTTTGAGCTCGGTTAAGAAATAATGAAAGATGTTTTTCGTCTTATCACGAACGTGGGACAAAGAAAAAATTCTGAGTCCCCATGGGGAATCAAACCTCAAACCTTCGGATTCCGCGCTCTGATGCCCTACCACTGAGCCACAGAGATGGTAAGTTTTGAGCTCGGTAAAGGGTGACTCAGAATTTTTTCTTTGTCCCACGCTCGTGATAAGACGAAAAACATCTTTCAAAATTATAATTAGTGTATCATACCTGCAGCACTTGAATTCACAACTTTGGAAATTTTGGGAGGCAAAGGTTCCTGCAAACAAATCGCAGAATAATAAATTTACAATAATTTTTTCACCAAAATTTGAAATCAATATTAATTCTGGTTTTCTTTGGCTGAAGCACATGCATTTCAAACATACGCTAAAACCAGATGTTTCCAAAACGATATTACACCTGCCGAGCCAGACTGACAACAGATAAACTACCTTAATACCCAACACCCTAACATCAGCATTCGTATTTCCCATATGACTTTGATACATTTCTAAAGGTGCTGACAAGGACAATTTGTTTAACTATCAAGAGCGTCTTTAGTTGGTGATCATTTCCTTTTTTGTGACCTTAAAGTGACGTTAAGGTGATACTGTGAGGAAAAAATTGGATTTAAGTCACTTTTAGGGGTCGAAATGTTAAAAATGTTTATGTCTATATTATAACGGGGGGGGGGGGAGGGGAACCATAGTGTTTTGTCCCCCCGTCCTATAAGAATATGTCATCAATGGCCCATATACATTTTGTAACATGAAGCCTATCAAATGTACGTATGCGAAAATTGTCCTTTTTCTCGTTGAGAAATCATTTCTTGAAGGATCTCTTGATACACTCTAAAACATTTTCATGCACATCAGCTAGAAATCCATCTAGGGAGTAGGACTTAATTTGCTCTATGAAAAGAAAAACTGAGAAAACATCTACAACTCATCCATAACTTTTCAATTTAAATAAATAAATAAATAACTATTTTTACCTCCTCATCCTCAGAGGACAATTCCCTGGAAGAAAGAAACACCATTTACATAAATTAATATTTTTACCAGACAAGCTGATGTGTCCCTGAAGTCCATTTGAACTGAATATGACATGCTAAGTAATCCAGTCTGCAAACAAGTAAATACCTTTCCTTTGAGTTTTGATTTTCCACAGCTTGATCTTGTTTCTTTGGGGCTGTTTGAGATTTTGCTGGTTTAAGTTCTGTCTCATCTCCTGCAGTGTCTGAAGCCTTTTTGCCTTTGTGTCGATTAACTTCTTTCTCATTTCCTGTACTGCTTGGCTTTTCTGAAACTTTTTTTGCTGAGTGTAGAAAAAAAGTTACATCTCTCATTTAAAGCTATGTAATCCAAGGTTAACACTCAATAATCAAAGTACTAGCACTATCTTCAACCTTGTTCCCAAGGTCCTCTCCATTCCTCTCTCAAGAAAGGACCCTGGTGGTAGCTAATAAATTAACTTACAAACCTGATATGGATTTTCCAAAAAATGACATCATGCTACCACTTTTGTTGCTACTGTTGGGCTTTGTTTGATCATTCTTAGAATGAAGAATAACACAATCAGAGCCAGATATTGATTTGAAGTCTCAGTTAATGCCTTAAATAAACTATAACTACATCCACATGTCAGATATATTCTATAATATCTGAGACTTCAGTGATCATGGTAGTCAGTCAGAGTGTTTATTACCGATCTCTACTGTTATTGTCCAGAGTTCTTCTACATTATTTTAATGAGCTTACGTGCTTGAGCTATTTTCTTATTCAGTCTTTCACTCCCAAGATCTAACAGGAATCATTTTCACTGTGTGCCATGCATTTCTTTTAATTTTAATTCAGAGAATTTAGCATTAATTCTTTTGGCATTTGAAATTTTTATCTTCCTCTCATAAGAGGGTGGCAAAGGGTAAATGCATGACATGTGATTATGGCCAAAATTAATAAGTGATGTGTGAATTTTACAGAAAGGCAAGATAAGGTGGGGTTTTTAGTTTTCCCTTTACATCAAGATGCATAACGTTTTCTAAAATTTACGTGAAATGGGATCAGAACCCCTGTTGCTACCCTTTCATTGCCTCCTGCTTTAACCTGTACGGCAAACACTGCAAAAAATTTAACCAATAGATTTCGTGTTGCTGTAAATCTCTTCAGTAATAGATCACAGATGATGTCAAAACTTGGTAAAAACAAAGAAGCCCCACGTGACTTGCAACTAAGTGTGTAACTGATGTACTTGCCCAATTTAACCATGTTCTGTGATATCTTACTGTAAAGGCACATGGCAACATTAAATCTATTTGTTTTGTATGATAAAAGAACAAAACAGTGCACATGATAATATCATCTATGCATCTCTCCTACGATAGAGGATAGGGGAGAGCCAATCAAAATGATTTTCATATATAATGATATTTAGATGTTGGGAGTTGGAGGATTTATGAAAACTCCTGTGAATCAGGTATCATTACTGTAACACACACCTGATAATCTCTTCCATTTTTTTCAGCAGGTGGATTTTCACCAATATGCTTGTCATTTTTAGTGGTAGACTTTGCTGAGAACATCTCCATGGTTGGCATCTGTCCTTTCTTTGGCTTTGAAGTTGCTGTCTATTTTTTGAACAGTTTTACACACATGAACAAATTTAGATTCTTACAGGGACATTGAAATGATAAAGTTATTTCAAAAACTAACAAATGAGAGAAAAAATTATCAGATAGATGATTGGATGGATAGATGGACATATGAATAGCAGAAAATAATTGATGAGTAGAAAGACAAACTGACAAAGAAGTTATATATGTTGTGGTTTTGAATGTCTGTCTGTCAAAAAAGGAAGGTCAGATCAAATCACTCTGCAATGATACTGAAATGGAACTAATTTTAAACTATATTACACATTATCTAACAGCATGTATTTTCACTTAGGTAACAGATACAAACCTTAGTTTTTTGGTCAAATGCTGAATTAGAAGCTCCTAGAGAACAAAGAGATTTTTCAAATTTTAATAACCACCAGTGATGTACAACTAACACAACTTTTTTTAAATCAGAGGCATAAGATACGTAATGCAGTTTGGCACTTATTGTGCTCATCAACAGCGAACTTCATAATAACACCAGGCCTACAGTACATTTACCCCTTGAAGATGAGTGTACTTCACCAGTTCCATTAGTCATTTTGGTACCATGACCATCTGTCGCCCCATTCACGTGGTGGGTACCCCTGTTAACACCTTTATCTGCTAGGGGTACTGCAGCTGAACAGTAGATATGGCTCCACCTACATGTGAAAGACAAACTGGTCATTATTTCACAATACTTTTCTGCTACTTTGTATTTCTTTGTGGTATTGACCAATATGAAAGCTACTAACAGTTAGACTAACCCTTTAACCCCAAAAGTGATTAACATGTAACTTCTCCCTATGATATCTGTACACTATTCAGTGAACAGGTAATGAGAATACTCAACCTCATCAGATAAAAGTTGTTATCTTGATTTAATGCCAAATTCCTGTAACTTATTTACAAGGAAATGTGTAGCAGCTAGAGGGGAGAATTAACAATTAGATCTTGAGAGTTCAAGGGATGACAAAAGTACCAAACTCTCCAAGTCAACATTACTTATCTATCAGATGAGTAAAACTATCAATACTGTCAATGAAATTCACACTCTTGAAAATTAGAGAGCAAAACATACCTATTAGTTTCACTGCCATACTGCTGCTGTACATCATAGTCAACAGTGTATAATGCATTTGCATCCTAGAAATAGAATATGAAAGTTTACTTCTTCATTACTGACACTTTAAGATTCCTTAGACAAGACATTAATTGCTCTGTCACACTAAATAAATGACCATGAGAGTGAATAAATAACATTACCTTTAATTTACATTTCTGTACACTGTAGATGTGTAAAGAAGTCACAAATGAGAAGTTCTTCTTAGTTTCTAAAAATAAGTAAAAAAAAAAAACCAACATTGGTTACTATATAACAATTCCTTAAATATCACAATCACTAACTAAATAAATGAATAAAATGAATTGACTTTCATCATGGTATTTCACAAATTGGTTCTTCAACCACCACTAATGGAGTGAATTGGATATTGGAGAGTTAGGTTTTGTGGAAGGAAGAAGATCACATAATCAAGATCAAAACCCTTGGGACAAAAAGAAGAACCAATCCCAAACTCTACATGAGAATAGGCAGCAAACTTAAACCAAATCACACCCAGGGATTGAGCCTAACTCGAGTTTGCCACCATGTTTAAAAAAACAGACATTTCCCATAAGTGGGTTACAGATTATTTAACACCCTTAAATAGGAATCAACTAAGTAATTCATACTGAAGGTATGTCTACTTGGTACCTTCTAGCTTTTCATCCTGAGTAATAACAAATCTATGTACCTGAAACAAAATGAGCATTTTCAATTCATGGTATGAGCCTCCAGTTTGTATTGAGTTTAGTTTCTACTGATGCAAACTTGAGTTCAATATAATAAATAAAATGATTGATCTTAGACAAAGAGGGGACAAGAAAAAGAAAGGTTACAGGAAAGCCACAAGATGGAAATTATACATTACCCTAGGAAAATAGAGGCTTGAATTTTTAGATTATAATGTTAAATTAGTGTGTAGATCTCAAATTTCTACATAGCCCTTTCATCACAATTCCCTGAGATAACATCATAACTAACATCTTTAGGTTTTGGGAGTTTTAGAGGAACATGTGAAATGAAAATCTCACCATATCTCCATCCACTGAACATCTTCCTCCAATCAAGTAAGTTACATTAATATCAGATCCAGAATTAGACCTCTTTTGTTTCTGAACAAAGGCATACAGCATCCTGTCAAAAAAATAACAAATAAGAAAAACAATATGAAAAAACAAAAACAAAACAAACCAAAACAATGCTTCAGTCATCTCAAGGAAATATTGGGTAAAGTGTCTGCACAGCTCCATCCTACATTATGCATTCAGTTCTTGGATAGAGAAAACAATGACAAAAACAATAAATTGCCATTGGAAAAACAGATTTGTTTTACAATGGTATGGGGCTGTGCGGAAATTTTACCAAATATTGTATTCACTAAATTATCTGACTCACATTATGTCGTCCTATCGAGAAAATTCATAAACAAGGAATCCTTCAGTACATATTTTTATTTTCGTATATTCTTTATTTTTCTTCGTCTACGGAAAATTAGAGTGAATGGTATCTTACAAACAAACACAGGCTCACTTCCTTTCCACAAAGAATGAAAATAAGCTTAAACAAAAAAGGAGTAACCGACTGTAATTCGTATAAATAAAAAAACAGTGATTTTAAACGTCGCTTTGAAGATTGCTAAAAACATACAAGCTTGCATTGCAATTGACATTCGTTTCAGTTGATTCGTCCGTAACGTGCCGGGACATTTTGCAGATAAAACTCAATCCTTTGAAGCATAGACAAAGCAAAGGCAGAAGAAATAACATAACATAATCACTGTTTAAGAGTATATATTTAAATCTAGCTTACTGTTTCGCTCTGTTTGCGGATACTGACAACGTTCGACTCAACCATTTGTAAGTTACCTGAAATAAAACAAGCAAGAAACACAACACTATATCAAAAAAATATTTTTAAGAAAATAATTAAGCAGGTACATCTAAAAAAGTGCTATGCAAAAAGCTTACAATTCTATTCTCATCGTTTACAAATTCATCAAGGTTTGCAAGGTAGAGCTCCTCTTCGTCCGCCATCTTGATTTCCCGCCAAATAATTTAGTTCGCGCGTTTCTTTATGTGTATTACCGCTGACTAACCTGCGCCGTCGTTTCCTTGTAGATTTTGTTCCAAAATGTTGTCGAGTATGCTCCATTTTTCTCCAACTGTTTTCCACAAAATAGCTGGTGTATCTGGAGTATTAGCTATTGCATTAGGTGCATACGGATCTCATGGTAATTATACTCATTTTCATTTTACGTACTCCACTAGCAAACTGTGTTAATGTCTTGTGTTGAGTAAAATTTTATGAAACAGTGGTCGAATCACTTAAACGACATGTGAATCGATCAATATAGGACGTACAACCATGAAACTTTCTGATTTACAATCTTGTTACAGCCTCGTTCCTTAATGAAGAAGACGCCAAAAAATACAAAGAGGTAAATTCAAATAAACAATACTTGGAATCTGCTTTTGTTTTTTTTTCTTAAGTTAAGACATATCCCTGATCTTAAATTTAGGTGCAATGTTGGGAACAAAAATCAGTGTTTAAAAAAATTGTAATTAGCTGCTTACTTAAAAGGATACCCCAGTTCATATGCACTTGAAATGGCAAAATGCTGAGGTATTATTTTCCAAGAACTGCAAACATTTCCCTTGATGGAGACATTTTGAAGGCTTATGACATCTTTTCTTTTTCAGTCCTTCATGACTGGTAACATGTATCCATATCTTTTTTTCAGTCCTTCATGACTGGTAACCTGTATCCATCTCTTTTTTTTTCAGTCCTTCATGACTGGTAACCTGTATCACCATCTTCATAATTTGGTGTTATTAGCTGTTCCCTTTGCTAAAAGACCCAATCTGGTAAGATAAAGCTGTTCTAATAGCTTAACTACAAATTAGGTATGATGCTGAAAGATTAATCTTTTTGAGCCTTGAACCACAACATACCTTCTCATCATTTTTGTGGATAATGAATTGAAGTTGTAGAAGGAAGTAACCTGCCACACATTGTGGGAATTCAGAGAAACACTCCATCCCCCCCTTCCCTCCAACAGTAAGCTAGACTTGAAATAATTGCCTGGGACTTTAATTTGAGAATCTATGTTTGTAATCAAATACTAAATGTAGTAAGTGGCTTTTTTTTTTCTGAATCAGGCTGGCAGTTTAATTTGTACTGGAATTCTTCTATTTTCTGGCAGGTAAATGTACATCAACTTTGCAAGTTAGCTTACTATGTCAATTTTTTTTAAAGCTCTTTAAACTTAAATTGTAACAATTTCAACCCCTGATATTGTGTATGCCTCATAACAAAGATGGATTTTTTTCAAACATTGCTTTCTTACTTTTTTACTTACTTAAATGTACTTAATCCTGTTTGAGCAAAAGCTCCACATGAAGCCTAGTGCATCAATTGCTAGAGCTGCATAGCAGATGGCCATTGTTGAGTCTAGTTCCAGGCCCTCCTTGCCTCTTTTGCCATGGTGGTGGTTGGCTTCATCCAATAAGAGTGTGAGGTGTTGGCATAGAAGTTGTTATAATTCCTGGTCTGCCCTGTTCTGTCCTGTTCATCTTGTTTCACTCTTCTTAGAAGAAGACCAAGTGCTAGGTCTATGATATGAATTTTTGTTATCATCTAAACGAAAAATCATTTTCACAAGAAACGTTTTGCAGTCTAATTGTAATAATTGTGCCTTTTTGAAGAAGTTGGGACTGGCACATTACTAAAGAAACTTTTTAATTATATAACTGTACCTCATAATATACTTTTTTTGTAATTGTACTTTGATTTATTTTGTACTAAAAAATATTTTAACATTTCTTTGTTTTAGTTGTTATTTAGTTGGACTAAAAAAGGACAGATCATATGGAAAGTTAGCTCCGTATGGTGCATACTTCCTTATGGCTGGATGGTTAACATTTGCATTTTAACTACCTGATGAAGATGGGATAACTTTGCAAGTGCTGGCTAAAATATGTGAATGGGAAAAACCTCATTTTAACAATCAACTGAGTTTCTTGACTTGCTTACAGAGTTACACAGTAGCTTCTATAGAAACTAGAGCAATTTTTAGTCTAGTGTCTAAAGTAAATCAAGATTTCTTTAGTTTTTACTTCACTTTGCTCTTTGATTGGTCCAGAAAAGTCGAACCACCCTCTCAACCAATCAAATGAAAATACTATAATCAATCACGTGATGGTCTCTCTCGTTTTCCTGGTCTATGCTCGTATTGGCTGTAGTGATCACTTTGGCTATGGTTTTACAACATATAATTGAAAGGCTCTCTTGTCCTATTGTTTATTGAGATAACTTTGTTCGGTAACAAACTACTGAAACAAAGAACTTATCGTGCCACCCGGGTTCCTTTTATGTCTTACCTTGAAAAAGCGCCGCCGGACCCAAATATTGAACGGTCATCCCTAGTTTCTTAAATATCAGAAAGCGCTGCCCTAACGAGTCCACACGCTCTCTAGAAAAATACGGACAGCGGTACACTCTTCTATTGCTACTTTATGTAATTGTTTGGGTGCCGTTGCTATGTTTTCCGAGTGATGTTTAATTGTTAAAAGATCTGCAGATTCTACAAAACCGCGATTACAAGTTAAAATTTTTTGTATTGGTGGACTCACGCAAAGCTGTGTCAAATTGGCGTGTTTAAAAAAAAAAACGCAGGATCCATCGACGATATAAGAAAAGTTTTTGCGTTTACGGCGTCCTGAAAAAATCACGATTCCTAACTTAAAGCAGTTTTCCAGTTTCCAATGAGAAAAGAGTAGAATTGCATACGCCCGCTAACAATATCTTTGCACACTCTGTTGCCCATAAAACGCCCACATATTCCGCTAAGCGTTGGAGGACTTAAAGAATTCTAGATTATTCTGAATAAGCAAAGAGCGATGGTGAATTATTCCGATGTCCCAAGGAAATTTTATAAAACCACATTCAATACAATCTGCAATTACAAATAAAAACTGTCAAAAGTGCTAAGCCTCAACAGTCGAACCCCTGGGGTTCAAAAATAAAGGAAATGATAACCAATTTCAGGAGCTCCTGATTGTCAAACAAATTCTCCTCTTCAGCAACATAAAAAAAGTGAATTGACCATTGTGGAGAATATGAGGACAAATTTTCAGGATATAAAGGGTTGAACGTTCGCGGTTTTGTTTCAGTGCGATCAATCATTTTCGAGGAGACGATTCAGTAGCTTTGTAATTTATTGAAAATATTCCAATAATAATAGTAAAAATAACAATTATAATTATTGTTATCATTTTTATCGGGATTTTTATTGATATCAATCACAGTTTTAGTCCTTTTGATATTCTGTTGGTGTTAACACTATAAAATTCAAGTGGCCTTTCTTTTGTTTTTAGATGGTTGAAATCGTCGGCCTTCGATCAAATTTACCATTTTCACTTTGCATCTCGTTAATTCAGCACGTACAAATATCAATTTTTAAAAACATTCGCACCTAATTATTGATTTTACGAATCATCGTCGTACCTTACATGGCTTTCCACCTTATTCAATTTCCCAAAATTTTATGATGTAGTACTGGTAAATATTTTATAAACTAAGGTAAAAATGTTTCCGCTCCCGCCGCCGACTGTAGACCCGAAATTCTCTCTCTGATGTCGTAATTACACCCCTTTAGCTAAACCGCTGTAAAGGTGATTATTCTTCTCCAAGATTGATGCCACGATATGAATATTTTCTACTGCGGGGGCAGATATATTTCTAAAGCACTTCATATGTTTTGCGAACAGCTTTCAAAGTACTTTAGAAGGCTCCGACCGGGAAACCAGCCTTTTAATCAAATTGAATTAGTTCTTTATTTAGTCTCTGCCTATGATTTTCTTCGCTTTTAAACGAGGTTTAAATTTTCAATATATTTCAATTCTTGCTATGCATTTTGCCTGACATGTACTGTGAAAATACTATTCTGCAACGTGGCTGTTTAAAGCTGAGTGAATGTAAATTAGGTGTACAGTAACGCATCACCGGCATCTTGTCGCGGCGTTGAGATGGTCTGAGGCTAAGCTCTCAGTATTTTACCCAAAGAACGCCTCTTTGTTATAATTAAAAGCAGCAGGTCCCTTTTCAATTTTACTGACACGTAACCGTGTTTAGCTCTTCACAATCGAATTGTTTTACAAACACAACCTTGCCTCTTGGAGTAAAATTTTTGACATGGCCCTTTGGAGCGGGTCATAACAATAGTAAAAACACAAAGCAAATGATTCAAGAAACTAATTTTAATATTTCGTAGGAAGAAACTGCTTTCGTAAACACGTTTGTGCTGTGATATACTAAGGTGAATCAGTAGCGTGGATGAAATTAATCTTCGTTCCATTGTTTTGTTTCGACGCATAGACGGATTTGAAATTCAAAATTAAAACCGACTTCTCACCTCAATTTTTTTTAATGGTAAATCAATCGACTTTACCACTGACAAAATTTGGCGTTAGCGGATTGGTGTTCCAAAACATCTACATGGCGATGAAAAAGAATTTTCTTTCTTTTAAAATGTACGTACACGGAAGTGTTTTCCACCGTTAGGAAGATAAGTCATTTGTTTTGCGCTTCCCTGGAGTGCGTCTAGTTTTACTCTCGATATGTCTACGAATCGGCTCGCCTTTCAGATAAGCGTTGAAATTTTTCGCGAAGGCCATGACTGGTAAAGAAAACGCCAGAACGCCAAACACAGCACAAATGCCCCCAACAACTTTTCCAAAACTTGTCATGGGGTAATAATCTCCGTATCCAACGGTACTCACTGTCGTAACACTCCACCAGAATGCGTCAGGAATGCTGGAAAAATGGCTTCCATCTATTCCGAGATCTGTGTAAAAAACGGCACTCGAGGAAAGAATCACTATCATAAACATAAATAATATCATCATCTCTAGCTCATTAAGGCTCGCGCGTAAAGTATACATCATAATTTTCAGTCCGTTCGAATATCGAGTTAGTTTTAAAATGCGAAATATTCTCAGAAGACGAGCGATTCGGGGAACCGCCAAAGACACTAGTCGGCGATTCCCACCGATCATAATAGTAAAAAAAGGTATAATAGCTATCAAATCCACAAAGTTCAAAGGCGATAGAAGAAACTCCAGTCGATTTGGTGCCGCCGCAAAGCGTACTATATATTCAAGTAAAAACCATGAATAGCAAGTCGTTTCGAGGGCTATGAACACTTCCGGAGTTTCGTGGGTACAAATTTTCTGTTCTTTGCTTGGCAGATCAGTTTTTTCGCTGTTTAACGTTGCGTTACTGCTGTCGTCTATCAATTCCTTATTCTCGGTGCAGCATCCTTTAAATTGGCACAAGGTCTCAAGGCATGAGATAAGCACGGAGGTAGCGATCATGAGTACTGAGAATAACGCAATAGCCCTGGCAAAATTCGAGGTGTCGGGATGTTCGAATAAATTCCAAACTCGGCGTTGAAATGTCCATTGCGGTGGCTCAGCGTGTTGCGCACGACGATTTTGATACAAACACCTTGCAACACTCTTCAAAGCTTGTTCCCCTAACTGGAAAAATTCAACTTCTTCCGTAAAAACGCTGGCAGGAATATCGTCAGGCCAAATAAGTCGTCCTCCAGACTGGTAATAAAATAAAATTGATTCGAATGCCACTCGGTGACGATTAAAGAAATATTCCTGTACTACAGGGTTATAGTACTGCTGCCTTCTCGACGGACTTCCAAGAAGCGTGTCTGGAAAACGGTTCAATGTCCCCTCTTTCGTTTCAAATGTCATTCCGCTGACGTTGATAACAACACGGTCGTCCATTTTACAAAAACATCCTTTTTGTTTCGATGAAGAAAAAGACCCACTGGGCAAGCTCCAGACTTAACTGCAATTTACGGATGCATCTGAAGTTTGTGTGATATATACACAGAATTTTGTTTGTCCCCGAAATTATCACGACAATTCTGTGGGCGCCTTCCGCCAATTTTTCCGCAAGTGATTCGTCTGATTTCTTTAAATGGCACACAAGAACGTTTGTGTGTTTAAAATGTCTTGACAGGCGCTCTTGTTTGAATACAGCTGCAGGGATGTTTTGAATATCAAGAAGACAAGGAAAGCTACTAGAGAGGTAATTTAATGAAATATGGATAAGCCTCTCAGGTACCTCGAAGTAAACAGCCAATGACTAGCTCTCTTAATAATGAGTACTTTGACATTTAAAGCTTGAGAATTAACTTTGAACTAAATTTACATTGAAGGCTTATAACTAACAAAGTAAACGAACGGACAGTTTCCAGACGAGAAGAAATTCTATGATTTACTATACAAAAGCAATTTACGCCACAGAGATAATTATTTCATACAATATGTTAACGGTGAGCAAATAACAGCTATTGTTTTGAACGCCGAGGATCGATGACGAGGACCCCAATTAAAGAAGACTTTTAGAGCAGGTTGCAAATTAACTAAATGAAACGCAAGCTCGACGCCTCTTAATTTCGAAAAAGACTTCAATTCTGCTGTCTTTGATTATCTAGTTTGACCTATAAAAATTTAAAATAATTGTGAAACTTGGATTCTGCACGCAAGCAACAGTGATATTATAAAATATCATTTCTTAGGTTGAGGTACGGATCAGTGAAATTACATAAATTATTACAGGTGAAAAATAATATTTACCATGCAAATAATAGCTTTTCTAAATTGATAGTCAATTTCACTTGCTAAGGCTTGAACAATAACCGCCGTAATACGGTCAAATAACATCGTTGTAATTTGCAATGTTTAGTTGTACCACCTGCTGTGAAAGGTATTAGTTGTCGACAAATAGACGGCAACAGTTTCAAACAAACACGAAAGCTTAAAGTAACCACTGCCTGCTAAATTAAAGGCAGAAAACATGATCATTTTCTCTTACCCTAATTAAAATTATTGGCAACATAGCACTATAAAAAAAAATTGGAAATATACTTTTATCATAATTATGGTGATGAAGATGTGCCCACACTCTACGCAAAAGTGCAGCATTCAAGAAAGCGAGCGATGTCTTATGGGTCACAATGTTTTTCTGAAGTTTGCAACCATCAAGATGTTCGCCACCGATAATTTACAAATAGAAACTTCAGTCGGTAATACGGTATTAAGTAAAGCGTTGAAAGGCAAAATTATTTCATCATCACTGGTCTGTTTCACTTTCATTCTCCTGTGCTCTTCATTAGATTTTTGTACAGTAAGCTACATATATCACTGTTGACTCGCTCAGACTCTCCTGTAACAGCTTCCCCAGCCTTTTGAGTTGTTTAGTAAGTGTATCACTTAACCAGCGAATTAAATTCAACTATGTTCTTCAGGTTTCGTTCCGACGAAAATACGAGACATTCACACTTTATAAGGGACTTTCTTCCTTAGATTTCCTATATCCTTCGTTGGGTCTGAGAAAACTAACAAAGGATTTGCTACATAAATTAAAAATTGCCACGAATAAGGCGACAGAATTATATTTAAACTACGATAGATGAAAGAAATAGTTGTTTACAGGAACAGCTTCCTTAACAGAGAGGATTGATTACATACTTTGTCTACTTTCATTCGTCAAATGAAAGTGCTGCATGGTAGCTGTGTCGGCATACTAGTAGAAAATTTCAAATGATACATTAAACATTTCTATCTCGATTGTCTGGTATCGTTTTTTTCTTTTGACACTGAATAAATCCTTAGAATCGGGATAGGAACGGCGGTCAGGTTAATTTGCACTTGCATGCGTACGTTCTTAGGCACTGCTTAGAAATGCTTTATTGGTCAGCTACGTGTGCAGGAATGATTAGTCAGGAGTATTGACATGCAATAACCTAGGTTTATTCTGTGTAAGCCTGGTACAGTTTGTGTCTGTGTCTCCCAATTTTCCGCCAAACCGACATAACTTCATCCCTCGAGTTTGACGACCAAGCTTTCAATTTCATCAGGTAATCCATCTTTAATTTCTTTACATATTCGTTGTTTGGACATTCTTTCTCTTTTTCTGATGTTATAAGGAAAACTTGACACAATCGAGCGCAGATGACGTCGTACAACAGCTCAAACTCTTGACTAGTGAGAGGAAAAACAGCCTCGTAACCAGATATAAAGTAACCGCTAGACACAAAGACGTCGTCTTCCTTGGTGAATGAGGCCACAGCCGTCGCCAATTCAAACAGATAACATGACAAGCGAATGTCACCAAAATCGATCAGTCCGGAAATTCTAAGCTCACCAAAATTCGTGTCAAAAAGCAGATTCGTGTCAGTTAGGTCATTGTGAATTGTTCCCAGCCGTAAAAAAGAAATCTTCGGAGTTACGCTAGTCGCAAATCGGTCCAGGACATCACGGACAAGCTTCTTATTTTCTTCGCCTTCAATGGAAGAAACGCAAGACTCGAGGGAAACTAGGTTTTCTATACACCATCTGTCTGACTTAACGAGTGATACAGGACTTTTGAAATCCTAGAAACGGACAAAAACATATTACATATGAGAATTAATTAATTGATTTGAGATGGGTCGATTTCTGGTTGCATGGTTCCTTTGTTCATCAAGATGATTTCAGAATCCAACAATGATATTAAAGTGTCACGACAATATTACACTTTCACGAAAAATTAATTCAACTTAAAATTTGCCTCATCCGTAAGTCTAAAAGTGGGTATCATTTTATAGCTGAATGCTAAATTTATTTGTTTATTTATAGCACAAGTAAATACTGTTTACATAGCTTATAGTTTATAGGCAAAAATTTCACAATCAATTAAGTGCAAATTAATTCTGATCAATTTTTATACCGTGAGATTACTGCCCTTCTTTTCGCCTCCAGTTATATCCATTTAACATCATCGTTCGAACCGAGAACTAAACCGTTTGCCGCAGACCGCTGTTTTATGCCTAAACACGTGGTAGCGTACCTGAAAAGCCTTGCTCAAATTCCCGATAAACTTGCCAACCATGAAGAGATTTTCGAAGCTCATTTTCCTCTCTAAACTCCTTGCCGTTTGGCCTGGAAGGAAGGATATCAGACGAGCAATACACCATTCGTATTCGGCAGTTTGAATGTTGTTTTTGTTCGCGGCACATTTAGCATTCGAACTCACCGGAATTCGAACAAGTGATTTTGTATCTACACCTCCAGCCAAAGGAAACAACAGCGGGCAAGGGAAGCCTCTTTCCCTCAAAAAATACATTGCTGCGTTTTCAGCTTCAACAAGATCACCATGCTTGCTGTCATCAGAGTTTAAAATTTTTAAGACGTATTCCCCTTGTTCGAGATGATTAGGGTAAAAGTTGCTCGCGACTTCTTCTTGACCTGTGATGCGTTTATGCCCTCGAACGTAAAAGTTTCGGTCGCTGAAGCTGTCTAACTCCTTAATTTCGCTTATCCTTTCAAAGTTGTACAACTTCCTTACTAACTGCTCAGCAAATTCGAGGTCAACACACGGTCGACTGTAAGCTGGCCCACTCATTATCGACTTGTTTCGAGCTATAGCATGTTTTAAAAAGCAACGTCCCTGGGGGTAAATTGATAAAAATTCAAGTTTCGAGAAACTCATTACTAATAAAGCGTGGACTCACAGTGACTCTTTTGTTATTGTGTTCAGTGAAACGTGACAAGGTCAAGGTCCACAAAGCAGGTAATTTAGTGTTAACAACTGGGTTGAAAACGTAAATTAGCCACCGTAAAGGGTAAAAAAGCTGACGTTTCTCATTCTCATATGTAATATGTTTTTGTCCGTTTCTAGGATTTCAAAAGTCCTGTATCACTCGTTAAGTCAGACAGATGGTGTATAGAAAACCTATCTAATCGCTCTGACGAAGGGCTAACGCTCGAAACGTCAGCTTTTTTACCCTTTACGGTGGCTAATTTACGTTTTCAACCCAGTTGTTAACACTAAATTACCTGCTATACTCTCCCACCGACGCAGCACCACAGGTCCACAAAGTCTTCCTTAATCCTTTAACTCCCAAGATCTGATTGTTAATTCTCCCCTCTTACTTCTACTCATACCTTGGTAAATTGGTGACAAGAATTTGGTGATAGATCAAGATAACAACTTCTACTTGTCTAAGTTTGAGTTTTCTCATTACCTGTTTGCTCAATAATGTATGGATATTATAAGGATTAGTTACATGTTAATCACTTCTGGGAGTTAAAGGGTTAATGATTCTGAATGGATTCCGTTATTTCCTGACTCACTTTTAGCTCAGTTCGTTTTCTCACGGTTTTCGACTAAAAACGATCTAACCTTGACCGACCTGGAAGTTAGTAACGTTTCAATTGATAAGAAGTCATTCTTTTGATCTGCGGTCGACTTGAGAAACAGCCTCAAGCAATTTCCCCTTGTAGCCTCCTTGTCTAGTAGTGAACACTAAGATCGATACTTACAAGGTTTTTTGTGCCTTGTTCCGCTAATTACAAATGAAACCTTGTTCGACAATCTTAGCAGAAGCTGAAACTTATCCTCAAACACAGACCATATGCTCTCGGAAACTCTATATCCCATCGTGACTGCAAAAACACGTGACCAGCGGTACCTGTCGTAAATAACTCACTGAAATATCTACTTGACTTGCCGCTTCGAATCAGGTCTCAGACATGACACTCCTGCCACCAAACATTGGTTCGTTTCTAGCACTATTTTCAGCATATCAGACCGTTTGACGACTGGTAGTTAAACCCCCTGAGACCCTTGAAAATTTGACAAGGCAGGCTCGTGTTTTTTAATTTATTTCTTTTATAGCTGTCCACTGCTTGGCCACTTACTATCGACACAGACAGTAAGGAGCGTAGCCAATCAGGTTGCGGCTAGTTTTTAAGAACGCTTGTAGATTCAATTTACTATAATTCTTCGTAGTCTGCTTTGAGAATCCATGGCGGCGGAATACCGAAATTCTTGACGTTAGCTGCAAGCTACATTGTAATTTCAAACTTGGTTTTAGATATGCATCAGTACTAAAATTTACTTCACACGAGGTAAGTTGAAGCAATTCCACGTAAAACTTAACATAGAAAAGAGGTGTCTTTGTGTGCACCCGGGCAAATATATCGATGCTTG